AGCATGAAACAACAATAACTGCTCTGTCAATTGCAACGACTGGTAGAAAATGGTTGGATGAATAACCCGGGAGTGCCCGCAATATATCTCTCAGATATAGCTGCATTTTTTTCTGAATCCGAATAATCTGAAGGTCCATTTTGTGAAATATGAATCTTAGACTGCAGAATTCTTGTCTGAACACATCTAGCGAGAAAGGTAAAAATTGACGAACTGCACGCAAAAACAATAAACATCTTATTATCTTATTAAGGAATATTAAATTTAATTTCCCTAAATAATTTTGTTTGTCACAAAAATATTAGAAAATCTTAGTCTTTATTTTCCGTTTTGCAGGATTTGTCTTTTATTAATTTCCCTACGTATCCTGCACATCTTTTTTTACTTTCCCGTATACGTACGTACATACGGAGTAAAAGGAAAGTTACGTAGTGCAGCGGAAAATCGATTCCGAGATTTCAACGGAAATACACATTTTGGGATCCTTTGATACGAAAAAATTGTTTTTTTCAAAACGACCGTTCAAGTTTGCGTGCAATTTTAAAAAATAACTAAAAAAAGATTTTTTCAAAAACGGATCCAAATTTTTTCTTTAAACTTCTAGTAGAGATGTACTAACTGCACTTTTTAAGATGACATAAACGTCATATTGCTCTAATTTGTTTTTCAAAGATTACAACAATATAATTTTTTGACGTTTCTCTTATGTCGTTAAGATTTACAATCGCGGTAGTTTGTTCAAATTATTATATTTTGGAGTACATGTGCTTTAAATAATATCAGATAAATCTCCTCGAAAACTTAACCATTTTCTGTCAAAACTAACTCAAAATTTCGCAATTTCAGAAACGGTTAATCGCCATTTCCTCAAAAAAGGTTTGAAATTTTTCGAAGAAAATTGACATTTAGGACACGGTTTACTGTTCTTTAATATCATTGAAATAATATTTCCGTTCTAGGAAAACGAAAAATGAAGAAAATGATTTTAAAAAAATGTACTTTGGGTAGCTTGCAGCTGGCAATATGTGGCAAGTTCGTATAGCTAGCCAAGACGAAAGGAAATAGAAAACTAATATGGAAAGTCTATGCCATTCCGTAGCACCACTAGTTCAATAGAAGAATCCGCCCAAGAATGATATATACTCTCTGGAAGAAAATATGTAAACTATTTGTAAAAGCAGTGTTTAGTTATTAAATCTTTAGATAAGCAGTCCACTCAAAATTATGATTTAATTGTATTTCCAAGTTATTCATGAGGCCAATGATTTATGTGATACCTATTTATAATTGATTATATACATCATTACATTAGGTAGGTATTAATAATGTTGTTTGTAGGATCGCCATGTGTGTTCAGAAAATAACACAAACGCGAGATGAATATGTAAACTAAGGGAATATAATAAATAAATAATATTTATTTTTAAAATTATTTGCTTTCTGCACCACAATAATGATCTGTGAATACGATGATTTTTAAATTATTTTTAAAGCATTAAGAAACAAAGCTGTGTGCTTTCATTTTACAAACAGGATAACCAACATTGAAGAGAGCGCTGTTAATGATAGTAAACTAGCCATAAAACAATAATTTAATCCATAAACATGTTTAGACTTTCCTATTTGTAACGTAATAAACCAGTTATTTGTCCAGTGAACCTTTTATTTGTAAGGTGTACGTCTATCAAACGTAGCCGTTACATACACCATGGATTTAAGTAGGCTGTATACTCTGCGTGCGAGGAGTAGGTGCTTAGTTACTTCAATTATATTATACAAAATCTGCGCTTGAATTGTCGATACAAATAGTTTCAATTACACAGTAGAGAAATTTTCTTTTTGTCAAATGTCAACAACATTCATTGCTATCTTTTAATCATAGTTCAACAAATGGTTGTAAAGGAGTGATGGAGTGATTACGTTGCTCAACAAAAGCGGGTATGTTAAAAATGTTCCCTTCTGAACTTCCGACGCTACTGCTTTCCCAAGGTCAGTGTATTTTTGAGTAACATTCGTGAATTAACATTTAGTATATTATATTATATTATTTAGTCCTGACATTAAGAGCTTAAGTAAAAATTAATTTTCTGTTTATAATAAAATAGTGTTTACTATACAAGAAATGTAGTGCGTGCGCTTTATTCCGAGACAAAAATAAATTGAGGAGTCGTTATTTAAATATTATGAAATAATATTAGGTTATTACAATATGAAAATAATAACCTTTAATACCTGAATCGATTTCGGTGGACCATCCCAGGGGTTAAAATAACATGGATTATGTGAATAATAGGATGCTTTCTTTCATTTGCACATTTTAATCAATAAAAGTAAAGTTCCTTTGAACAATTTTAAGAGTATTAGTGCATTGATGATTATTATACGGATACCGCAGTTCAAGGTTACTAGTAGTGACTAAACCTATTTTTTTAGTACAAGAGGCTGAGGAGAGGAGACTTCCTGGAATTCAACGTCCGTTTAAAATTAAAGTAGGGTAGTATTGATAACGAAAATAAATATTTAAAACTAAGTTGTTGAAGAAATTTTGGACTGAGTTTTCAGAAATATTCTAAAACCTATCAAAAAACATTTCTTGTATCGAGACTCGGAAGCACGTGTCAACAAGGAGAAATGTTTTTTACTACGGAAGACGCAAGTACAATTTATTTGATTAATAATGTCCTTTATATCTCTTATCTCTAAGACGTAGGTTTCAAACACCATTTTTATTGTTCATTTCAATGTACTTATATTTATTACTTTAAAATTCCCTGCATAAATGAATAATATCTTTGACTGTTATTCAGTTTTATAGAAATAAGACATTCAAAGATTTTAAACTATATACACCAATAATCTCTTTTCTCATTTTACTGCTTTTCTTATTTAACAACCATTAAATATAAACATTGTTTATACATTTTGCTGAGAAGTTAAATGAGTGTTTATCACTATGACACAATACTTTTTTTTTATTTCCAGATGCTGCGAAACGTTGTTTGGTAAGTCTACATTAAAAAGGAATTCGTATTCACCGATTATTCAAAATAGCGGCAGAAATGGTAAGTAGAGGCATTTTTAAGTATTACTCTACTGTATTATTTTACATTTCAATAATTGTAAATCTTACCTGTCTGTTTACTTGTCATAGCTTTTAGTTACAATAAGGATTACTTAATTGTGAAATTTACATTTTACTATTTTACTTTGAATATGTCGAATATTTATGACCAAAAAAAACACCTCAGTAATATAGAGTGATACAGAAAGCTAAAGTACTCGAGTCTTTTGTGGGTGGGAATAAAGCGTACACTACTTTAAATGCTTGACATTTCAGGTGTCATCATGAATTTGAGAGAAATACTGCTCTAGGATTTTTTTAATTAGGGGTCAATGCGTACCTTATTATAAATAGTACGTTTTTATCTATATTTCTTACTTTTAATATAGTTGTTTACTTTAAACAGATCAGAATATTTATTTTCTTTCATGGTGTTATTTTAATCGCTGTTGCAATAAATATGCAATAAATATGAGTAATACTGAAAAAGGTCACAACTCTGATTTTCGGCAGGTGGTATTAAATTACTACAAAATACATTGAAGAATATTCTATGTTCCAATTGAGGTTAATATTTTCATGAATTATGAAAAAATGTTAATTCATAAATATCTAAATCTAGTAGAATGTATTGCGTTCTTTTTCTACCTCATTTGGTAGTAATAGAAGGAATAATTTAAAACGTGAATGAAAAATACAGCCTCTGGAGGAATGTTTATTTTAAAACATATTTGAAATAACGTAATAAGTGTAACATTGGAAGGAATAAGGAGTTCCGAATAGTTGTGAGAACATTTGTCAAAGCCTAACTGTTAAAGAGAAGAATTTTGTTTCGTAACAATTTCTTCAACCATGCAACTTGTACATAAGACGTTTAAAAAAAAGTTGTTACGCCTTGGGTTTGGGTCTTGGATGAGTTTTAAATGAGTCCACTTATTGTCAAAGTTTGAAAGAAGGCAGTAACCTAAACTTAATTAATCGCTACTTTTCCATAACATAAATTTAAAATGTAACTTTTATGCTAATTGCTTACATTAATAAGATCATATATTTTATACACTAAAATAAATGTGTAACGAAATAATTTACTTAACATTTCCTTATCAGGAAACAAGACAATTTCACTTCTTTTTTTATTAGGTTTTCTTCATTTTTACATACAGGTGAGTAATATCAAGAAGACATACATCCTATATTACACATAGATACTGTTCATCTATCAGAATATTAATGGAAATAAGGGGAATATGTCAATATTGCCAAATTTGACATTTGATTATTTTTGGTAATAATTTCATCGTAGCCTCTTCACTACTGATGCGTCATAAATTTATTTTTGACTTAATATTTATATCGGAATTCACGAATCGTGCAATTCGATCCCTCACCTAACCTTCAGTGATTAGTTCGTACATTCAATGGTTTTTCTTTTAGGAAAATCGATATTTATAATACACATAAATACCAATAAAATAATGCATTTGTTCTGTTATATTGTGGTAAGTATTTATTAATATTACGAAACATTCCCAATATCATGTGGATCATCACTATCATCTTTCGAAGAAAAAAATTACGATCTGAAGCACAGTGGCAACGTTAGTTTGAATTATTTACTGAAATAAAATTTATTCTATTAGATAGGAAGTATTTCCCGAGATAAATAAGATATATTTCTAAAAAAGAACAATTACGTCGTTCAACGAACATTAATATAAATAAGGCATTGTTGTTCACATCTTCGCTGCCCTCTAATATTCATAATCAAAATTTGTAAAGAATGAGAAATAAATTTGAATTCTTCCTTACGAACCGGAACCTTCAGGATGTTGCCTGGTGAACTGTCATGTCTGAACTTTCTCATCTCTCGAATACATCCTGTGGATTGCACTGTCTTATCAGACGTTTCACCTTGTTCTGCATATGGTTTTCTTCATGACTAAAACCTCTCGCCTCCGGTGTTCTCATCTTTATAGAGTTCTTGTTCGTTCGATTCTTTGGATTCTTTTGATTCCTTTGACTCGCTCTCTTCGCTGCTCTGCTTCTTTTTCTTTTTGTTCTTTCCCTTACCTTTTCCTTTCTTCTTTCCCTTCCCCTTCCCCTTCTTTTTCTTCTTACCTTCGTCTGAGCTTTCTGTGGTTGAGGCAGTGCTGTCAGTGGTAAAGACGGACTCTTGAGTGCTTGTAATGATGCCTTCGGTGGGTGACGCAGAATTGTCAGTAGACAGTAAAGTGTGTGGAGTTGTCACGTCATCCGCAGTTTCAGTGGACGGCACAGGGCTGTCGGTAGACAAGCCTGCAGCCGTTGACACTTCAACAGGTGGTGTTGCCGCCTCTGGTTCATCACCTGCCTCCGTCGCTACCCCTTCCTCAGCTTGTCTTCTTTCCCGATCTAGAAATTGTTCGCCGATGAGAGCATCGGAACTCTCAACGAGTTCCAAGTTGTTGAAGTCGCTGTCATCTAGCAGCGAATTCTTTCCGCCGCCCTTTGTGTTGCCTTCAGGGCGCGCGCTGGCGCTCTCTAATACGAGCAGCGCCACCTGAGAAAACGAGAAGAAACAGTTTTTTAAAACATGCACCCAAGTGCGAGCCACCTCTCCAGCGTAATAGAGCTACCTACGAAAAACATATCAACAAAATGATGCCTATTGTTTACCACATTGGATTTTTAGTATATTTAAATATCAACCTTGTTCAAAGCGGCGCCAGTGTGCGTATGCTGCCCTCCGTATTCGAATTCAATTAGGATGATTTAGATGGAAAGAATTGAAACATTGTTGTGTCTGTAGATCAGATACTTTTTGAAATCATATATAGAACGATATTATGAGAAGTTTGACATCTTTGCTACTACATTTAACTTTCTTGTGAGATATTACTTCAAACTGAATAAGAAATATACAAAGGAAAGATTGCAATATTTGAGATGCCAGTTAAGTCTAATACAGAAAGTTTTATAAAAGGATTTACTTATTTAATTCAAAGTAATTTCCGCCTCCTTCAGTAAACCTCCCCATCATTCAAAACCATTCCCTAAACCATTTTCGCCAAGTTACACCAATCAGAAAGACACACTCGGGGTCTCAAGTCCTCAGAAGGTCCTCATCAGTGGAAAACCGCATTTCCTTTACCTTCATTTTTACATGCGGAAACAGTGAAAAGTCACCGGAAGAAAGGTCTAGACTGTAAGGAGGGTGTTCAAGAAGTTTCAATCTTGTTTGTAGTCGTCAAATATTCTATGCATACTCTCGCACGGTGAGCACGAGTTGTCATTATGGACGAACCACGACTCCATTTTTACTTTGTCTTATACGGCAGTATTTAAAATGGAATACACGTAGTGTATAGAAATTTACGTAATGCCGTGGAAAAATACATTTCGACATTTCAACAGAAATTTTGGAGTCCCTTGATATTGAAAAAGTATTTTTACTTTCTTGCCCTTAACAAGGTACTTCGTAAGAAAAAGTTGACGCGCCAGAAAACGGCAAGTTTTCGCAGGAAATCTTATTGTCGAGCTCTGGCAATGAAAAAGTGGATAAATCCAGTTGATAAATATAGAAAGAATCTTCTAACACGTGGTATAGCCATAACCCACGTTTTGTGAGTCCTTGACATCGAAAAATCAATTGACAGCAAAACTTCTGTCTGTGGTCAACGCTAGCGTATAAACCCTTCAACTGGTTTTCTCCAAAAGTGCTATTCTCCAATCAATCTGAACGAACTCGAGGATTTGCAACTTTGAAATGGATATTTTTATTTTTGAGTGTACGTTACATGGAGCGAGCATTTACGTGTTTATGCGTTTGAACCAATACGACGCTTCTTTGGCGAAGTGGTATGAGTGACGGCACGTTAACTCTGACCTGAGTTCATGTCTCGAAGCGGAAAAAAAAATGGTGGTGGTTGAATATACTTTTGCTGCTTTATGTAGTAGAATAATATAGAGGAGCAGTGAAAAATAATGCGATACCGAATGGTAGCCTTTTAAATTTAAATAGGCCTAGTTGATTCTTCACCACTAGACTCTTTCTTGAGTGTTCATCCAAAGAAATCTAGAGATATGCATCCTTAAGATTATCTTTGTAAACGGTGTCCCTTCCCATCAATTTTTGGAAACGATCTTCTGGTTTTTGTACGGAATGTTGCTCCATCTCCAACTGCTGATTGACAGTACACGTGAAGTCCCTGCATAGTGTTAGCATAGTCCCTGCATTCTATTCTTTTTCTTAACCATTACAGGTGTCGTTCACTTAGTATATTTAATCAATGAAATCACACCTTCCCTTTCCAATCTTCAAAGCTCTACTTTCACTGCTTCCCTTAGTGCTCAAGGCACCAGACGAGCCTTGTTGAAGGGAAGATCACAATTTTATTTTCGCCCAAATGACCTACACTTCACATGACCAGGTGAAAATCTCGGATTACTTTTTTAAGATCCTCTATTGAAACTGTCTGAGCGTATTTTCATGTAGTCTCAATTGGATACACTACTTCAAAATCCTAATTTGTTAAAGCTATTAAGTCTCAGAATATTTGTCACATCGAATCTATCTACTATGAGCTCTAACCGCTTCCTATTTTCCTAGAATTCTTTATTCAAACCCATTCTGCCATTGATCATAAAGGAAGTTGCAAAACATGGACCAATTTCGTGCCTACTTTCTCACAAGCGAAGAGAGCGTAAAAAATGTTTATAGATTATTGAGTGTGGATGCAGCTCTTGCGTCCAGCAAGTAGTCACCAACCCACTGCCAGACTACAAATGTATGAAGATCTTTCAATCTTCACTACTCAACGCTTCATGTAATATATCAGTTTCCATTTACGCTTTTTTCCCCATTTTTTAATATCTTAATTAATTATAATTTCGTGAAGGGTGAGGGTCCATATCTTTGACAGGCGAATTCTTGTAACCTCAATTTATTCTATAATCATGTAACAGTTTTGAGGATTGTTGTCCCATCATATGGCTGTAAAAATTTAAAAAAAATGTATCCTAAACCTTCACAAAGTCATAATTTATTTATTCTTCTTATGCCACCTATTTATTTCTTAATCCTATCTTGGATCGAGTCTGACGCTTCTATAAAGTGACTGCTTACTTCATCGGAAACCTTGAAATTGCGTGAATCAACAATATTGTATATTTATCGCTAGAATGCTTTTTAGTTCCGTCCATACAAAATTTTGTAGGGCATTTGCTCTTCAGCCTTTCAATTTTAATACTCCCTCTTTTTACTCTCACTGACGCTGTCCTCTCTGCGGTTCCATCTTTCTGTTCTGTTTCGCTCACAGATCTGAGCCTACCATATCTTCTAACAAGCACACATTGCCTCCGAGTTTGGTATCTCTCTAGTGATTTTGGTGATTACTTCATATGTGATCGGTAAACAGTGTACTTCTTCTCAGGTTGGATCACTTATTTTGACCACCTCGAATCATCCTTTTTCCTCAAGAGTGTGTAAAATAATCAGATTTGAAAAGCGAGACGGCTTATGCCTTTTCTACAGCCTGGAGTTTGACATTTAAACTCGCATGTAATATTCTCTGCGCTCCACTCACAATAATATTGGATTTTGGTTTTTCTATTCTGAAAAAATTGAATCGAAAAGCTTCAACATGCGAAGAAATTTTACTAAATACGTTTTCTAATTCTGCTTTAACTTTTTCCAAGAAAATAGTGATACTTCTCTCTCATGAAACAATTTTACAAATTACATGTTTCACTGACAATACAAATTAGAACGAACACTCATTTAATGTCGTGTTTGTTCACACCATGTCTTAAAAGATGCTGTGCGCCACTCTTCCTTTTATTTGTCGAACGGCAGAGAAGAGAGGGCATTCAGAATATTCAAGACGTTTATTAGACAAAATATGCTTAAAAGAGACTGAAGTACTCGTTTTCGAAATTTAGGCGTTTCCTTCCCGAACATCCTATACATGTAGAAATTATGTATGGGAATGTGAAAGTAAGAGTACGTAGATCATCTATTCAAGCAATATTACAGAAAACGTGAAAAGAAAAAATGTAATAACAATTGATGGAATGAAATCTAAAACCTTTGCTGGAGGACAATGGATCTAATAATAAAATTATGGTGAACCCATAATCCTCTGACCACCACTGCTTGTATGAAACAAGTAAACGTAGTCTAAAAACAAGTATGTAAAGCAAAGGATCAATATTGAAACCAATGAAATAGGTACATAGGAAGGTGACAATCAAGAAGTGCTTGGGAAAATATTTCAAAATGAAATCAAAATCGGAATGAAAAGAGTTTTGAATCAGATTACTCTCCAGCAATGGAAAAAAACTGCATTCAAAGTTTCTCACAGGAGACAGATTTGAATTTTATCATGATAGCTACACTTGAGATGTGCGAGTAGAATCACAATTTCTGTCAGCTTCCACAACTAAAAGAGTTGTAGAGTATGTTATGAAAGAATAAAGAGAATACGTATACTGGGAACATATACAACATGTGTGTTAACTAATTGTATGCTTGAAGAATAGAAGAACGAAAATGATTATTATTTTTATGTTATTGACATTGTGACTTTGCCATACTGCATTTGGTCTTTTATTTTAAAGACAGACATTTTTTTAAAATACAATAGATTGCATCTTCTTAAAGGTGATCCACAATAGCAATAGCATTGTTTCAGAAAATCATTATTACTATCTTCTGGCTTAAATGTCAAAAAAATGTAATATGTTGAACAATTGCATAATACCCATGTACATAAGTCAATATACAGAACCCAACTTGATAAAACTTTGTGAAGATATCAGTGCGATATCATATGACTTTGGAACAAATAAAAACGAATGAGGTTATGAGGAAGTACAGAGAGATTGAGAGGAACATTACAAAATAAAAAAAGATAGAAAGAAGTTTGAATTAATAGTAAGTAAAAGAAACATATACATTTTGAAAAAAAGACACAACTCAATGATATATCATATAAATTAGTAAATTTATTACATTCCACGTTGGCATTCAAACAAGATGTTCTGCTATACAGTTTCTAATGTTGTACTGCGATTTATTCAACTATGTCCGTGGCAGATATCAGCTGTTGACGGTGTCATTCCATCGGAAACTCGAACGTTCTCATAGTGACGTCACTATGGTGCCGTTCAAGCTCCATATTGGATAAAATTGTCTGGAGTTGGATAAATCCCAGTAAAATCTAGGATACAAGAAATTTTCGCGGGCTAAAATCTGTACCTACTGGAAATTCACGTGATGGGAAGTGCAAATTCGAGTTAGAGAATTCTGTCTACATTCCATATCTTTCATGTTCAAGTTATTTTGTGCTCAATTTACGTTTATTTGACCAATTCTAATAGATTAAATTCCAATGACCATTGGAATTTAATCTATTAGAATCTGTACAACTTATTTGGTAAACTGCGTACTTAATGTATAATTTCTTTCTAGCATTATTCAAGGTTTGGATTATACGGCACTTTTCGATCACTCTTATTTACTAATTTGAATTAGAATTTGTTCAAAAGTTCCTTTAAGAATGTTATTTATTTGGGGAATGTATGGTCAACATACCAACTTATTCATAAATTCTTTACCTCGACATTGTGTGGTAGCATTACTGCAAGGTTTCCCATATTTTTAGCCTTGTAGATAACATTTTTTCTACAAATTCTAAAAGGGTAGTCATTGAATTACATATCTCTAAAACTGAACGTTAATTAAAAATATAGAATCGAGATGACATTTTTATTGCTCTGTCAACTAAATTTGAAACAGCAGATTTCTTGTTAATAAAATGGTCTCGTGTATTATTTAGAATATTTCATAACATAAAAAACTATAATTTAGCCGTTATGTCTTGTGCATCTCATTCTATGAAATTGCACACTGTTATCGAATTCTTGTTCTCGAAAATAAAATATTTCAAACTTAAATTAATCGCCCAGGTGGAGTATGATTAATTTTTTAAAATTACTATTACACAACTCTCGATATTTTATACACGCGAGGAATTTGTCGAAAGAGAAACCGAGTTTATAAGAGTAAGCTAATATTTAATTGCACTCAGAAAATAGTAACTTCTGAGTTTACACGGAAGTTTCATTGAGTAACGATTCCGATATCGCTGCAGTTTA